ATCAAATTAGATTATATTGGTACGTATTGTATTAGTTTCCTGCAACCACAATATTTCTGATTACGTTGGAATCCCATGATTTGTCATTTATTAAGTCGTTTGCCAAATAAAAATTGTATTTATAAAGGAAAACGTTTCTGAATCTTCTATATTTCACACTTTTGGCTTGTTGAACTGATGAAAATAATCTTGATAAATAGATGATGTTCAATAACAACACTATGTAATTGACTAGTAACTGATTTAGTCGTATACCTGTTAGTATCCACAACATCCGTCTCATACACACGTTTCCTGAACTGTCAGCCAGTTACAGATACAAATGATAAGAGTGAAAAGTGACTAGGAAACTTTTATTGACAAACTAAATAATTAGATACAAAAATCATTGCTGTTTATTTACATTTGTCTTTCCAACCTATGGAATTTCGACATTACATTCTCTTTAGTCTATCAACAACGGTAACTGAAGGAAGTGTTTTCTTTTAGATTAATTATTATTTATATACTTTCGTGTGTGTTTATTTAACACTTCTTCCCCCCTCCCTCACGTGTACGAATTTTTGTTTTTCAAAACATAAACAAAGTACTTAATAGGCTCATTTACCAATGAAAAGAATATTAAATATTTACGTCCGATGTTCAGTTGTTATCTCATATTTGTTTACATCCGTATGATATAAATATATCCACTCTCTACTTAAGTCCAGTTGAATTTGTTTACCGATTATTTTGTTTGTTTTTTTCGAAAGAACGTCAATTATTTGTTCCGTTATCATAGTTTTTTTTTAATTTTAACCATAACCTATTTATCCAATTTCCCCCCTATGTATAAGTTGATCAGAGTATGTTTTTGGTCTCCCGAAAAATGAGGACAAAATGGATCCTGTTTAAACTTTTTCATGGTATTGGAATAGTTCGAGTGTGACAGACATCATTAACACTGTTGACATTTTTGTTAAAATTGCATTACTATTATAAAATAATGGTTCAGTTCATTTAATGAAATTTATCAAAGTAACTCAATTGATCTAACTGTTAATACACTAACAATATTTAACTGAATAGATAGATTCTCGAAATATATAAGTCTTGTTAGTTTACTGATTAAATATGTACATATATGTATTGGTGAATTAAAGCGATTATTTATATTTGGACAGTATTCAATCAAGATAGTATGAGTTACTTGTTGGTTCAATAAACAATTACTATTTTAAGGTCACAAAGTAATCAATAATGTTTCGATTGACGACTGTTATACCAGTTAATTAAGGTCACAAAACTAACGTTCATCGGAATTGGATTCTGTAATATAAATACAAACGTACATCAAGAGGATAATTTATAACCCTTAGAGTATGAGTTTCATGGCATAGTTTCATCTTATGTTAAAAGATGATCATAGTCAACAAGTACTATCCATTAACATGTTCCAATGAGATAACTCCAAAATCCTTTTTAATATAGAGATTACTAAGAAAATCTTGTATTCATCGAGTGGATACGTTACGTAATAATTACATAATGACATTTAAATTAACATTGAGTAATTGGAAGAGAGAGGATTATTAATATTCAAAGTAATTATTAAATCAAGAAGTTGCTACGTTGCGTAATATAAGAAATAAAGAAGGAACAGAATTTTAACGGATGGTCAATAGGATAGTAGTTACGTAAAAATCAAGAGATGAATGTTGAGAAGTTATAAGGTTCAAAAGCAATAGAAACAAAATTACAAAAATTTTAAAAAGAAAAAAGTGAAAGAAATATGAAAAATGGTTCTGAAATTTGCTTTAGGTTAACTTAAAACTAATGACAATTTATTAATCACGAAACCTGACAAAGGACATGGGATAGTACTCATGGATAAAAATGACTACATAAACAAAATGAAGCCCTTCTAAATGATGAAAGCAAATTTCAGAAACTGGCTCTGAAAAACGACATAGCAGACTAGATTGAAAAACAACTAACTAATTCATTGAAAGAAATTATACAACAAGGTTTTATCTCAGAAAAGGTGTTCGAAATGTTGAAACCTACAGGAACAATTACACCAAGACTATATGGTCTACCAAAAATACACTAAAGTGGCTTTCCCCTTCGATCAGTATTAGATATGAATAACTCAGCGTATCATACTATAGCAAAATGGTTGGTACAAATTCGTCAACCATTACACAAAGAAATTGTCAGACATAGTGTCAAAGATTCCTTTGAATTTGTTGAGAACATAAAAAATTTATCAGTCAAGAACAAATTCATGATATCACTTGACGTATCATCATTATTCACTAATATTCCACTACTCGAAACGATTGATTTTATTCGCAATTAACTAACGGCGAGACGCATAGAAACCCCGATCCCCGCATCCGCGATAATACAGTTAATTCTTAGATGCACTATGAACGTCCAATTCAGATTTGACAATGAATAATATAGATAACTAGATGGAGTCGCCATGGGATCATCATTGGGCCCTCTACTGACGGATATTTCCCTCGCAAAACTGGAAAATGGACCACTTAAAAGTACAATTACCCATTTACCAACTTTTTATCGATATATAGATGATACCTTCATAGTATTAAAAAAAGAAAATGATAAGCACAATTTACTCAATATATTTAACAACGTTCATCCATCAATTTACTTTACATCAGAATATGAACAGAATAATAGCATATATTTTCTAGACGTCCAACTAACTAGAAGAACAGACGGAACTATAAAAAGAAGGGTACACAGAAAGTCAGCAGCAGGCCAATACACTCATTTCCACAGTGCAGTTCCAATCAGATACAAAAGGAACTTGATAAAGACGGAGAAAGCAAGGACAAAAATACCCACCGTCCCCAAGAAGGTATTATTCATAAAACTACAATTCATAAATGACACCATTGAAGAAGTCATGACTCAGAAACTAAGAAGAGCTGTACAAAAAACGTTTAATGCTGCCAAATTAAATGTCATCTTCTACAACCACCCGAAAATAAGAACATCCATTAAAGACAGACTGCCAGAATTCGCCAAATCTATGTGTATCTATCGTTTCAACTGCTCCTGTGGAGCCAGTTATATAGGGCGTACAACTCGGCAGGTCCGTCACCGCATTACAGAACATCATCCGACATGGCTAAGCAAAGGACAAGTGAAAGTGATTAAAAGTTTTATTCTCTCTCACTTGGTTGACACAGGTCATCAAGTCGAATTGAATAAAGCTTTCAAGGTTATCTACAATATTCCATCAAATCTACCACATGGTTTACGAGTGCGCCTTTTGCACATTGCGGAAGCCATCGCGATCCATGTTCACAAACCTGACTTTTGCGTCCAAAAGAAATTCGTACAACCACTTTCTCTACCTTGGCCTTCAGTATAAAATTTCCGTCATAAGGACCATTTTTCATACTTCTTCCACTTTTTTCTTTTTAAAATTTTTGTAATTTTGTTTCTATTGCTTTTGAACCTTATAACTTCTCAACATTCATCTCTTGATTTTTACGTAACTACTATCCTATTGACCATCCGTTAAAATTCTGTTCCTTCTTTATTTCTTATATTACGCAACGTAGCAACTTCTTGATTTAATAATTACTTTGAATATTAATAATCCTCTCTCTTCCAATTACTCAATGTTAATTTAAATGTCATTATGTAATTATTACGTAACGTATCCACTCGATCAGTATTATATTATTATTGTAAAACGTATATATATTAGTGTATAGCCATGATGAAAAACTAATTGAAAAGAAATTTCTTCGCTCATTTCTTTCCTTCTTTATTTACCAAATGGCAAAATGGGAATTTTCACTACATTGAAATCTTGTACTGTACCGTAAACAGTAATTGAGGATTTTAAACATTGATATACCTTGATAAGTGTATCTTACAGCTTACACTAGCTTACAATAGTTCTTTTCTCTAAAGCTGACCAACCTAGCTTCAGTTGTTACATATGTTTGTTTAATTATCCATCCTCTGAAAACAAGAAGACTAGGTCTTGTGTGATCCTGGATAGATGATACAAGTACACTTGTCGTTGTAATCAATTTAACATCACTACCACAATCAATAAGTAGAAACATGATTTTATGAGTCAGTCTTTATTCAAACTAGTGTAAACCGGGAAATATATGACAGGTAAGAAGGAATTCACATTTGATTGCAACAAATTTTACGTACAAGATCTAAACGAGCTATAGAAAATTAATTGAAGGAAAAGAGGAAATAAACCATCGAACTGTTGACAGGTTTCATGCAAAGAAATAGCAGCTATTGAGCTGTCTCTGTTTGGATGTTTTATTCACTTTGAATGATTTATTTTATACCAAAGTTTATGTCGCAGATTAATCTTAATTAGGTAGCTATCAAGAATTAGGTAGTTCTGGACATTTGTTTCTTCCCAATCTAGGCTCCTCAGAAGTTTACATCCACAATCCCTTCGGAACTCGAACCCAGGACTATCAGTATCATAGTAAGGATTTAACCTTTAGGCTGCTGTGTCAGTTTCCCGTGGTTTACATTCGTTTTTATGTATTTCAGGATATCTATAAATGTAAGTAAGGGTTGTCCAAAAAAGTCAAATTAATCTTTTGCTGATCAAAAAGTTTGAAAAATGACCATTCAAATCTAAAAACCAATACATTGGTCATTTTTCCCAACCTAATCGATCAGTCATGTAAAATATCACTAATAACAGCATATTTTTCAGAAGCCTCCACAAAAATTCAATTTCGCTGTTAATCACATCATTTATCTCCGACGTTTTTTTTATAGATCAGTTAGCCTTAAATTTCAATCTGTCTACCTTTTCACTTAATTCATTGTTCATAAGTCGTATGTTTACGGTCAGGCCTACACATTGATGTTTAATATGACAACATTTCTAATGTCCTTTTTTATCAGATTTAACAATACACTTGACTTTTCCATTTTATTTGTGTAATATTTTCAAATTGAATGGTTTATGTTCAATTAACTTAATTTAGAGACAATGAAAAGGCTAATTTATATTGGAAACGATATTTATCTATGGACAATAGCGAAATCGTAGGTAAGTTGTGAATTAGTACTTTTTCTCATTTCGATACATTTAAAAATGAAGAACAATATTTTTCGAGTGTAGCTGGTTTATATGCCCAATTTTAAACTAATTTATTATGAGGCTAAGCGATACCCAAGAAAAGTTTTCAGTATAGTGTTATTGAATCGGATGAAAGATTTTGCGATCGCCCAACTTCGAGATCAACAGGTTACATCCCGTAACGATCGATTGTGTACTGGAATTCGTCACTATACTTCAACCTCCTCGATTATGAGAAGGCATTTAGGAGCGCGGATAGGCGAACCTCATGGAACGTTCTTTGACACTATGGAGTGAGTAGCTGAGAATATCGTCAGCATCATCCGGAATTTATACGACAGATTACACTGCGAAGCTGTGCATGGAAGTCAGATACATTTCAAGTGGACATCGGTGTCAGACAAAACTGCTTACTCTCCCCCTTTCTTTCTCTTCTAGCGGTTAAATGGATTATGAAGACCTCCGCATCTGGGGGAAAGTACGGAATGCAATGGACAATTTGGATGCAGTTACAAGATTTGGACTTCACAGATGACTTAGCTCTTCTATCCCATACACATAAAAAAATCCAGGTCAAGACAACCAGTGTAACAACAGCCTCTGTATTAGTTGGTCTCAACATGTACAAGGGAAAACCAACATCGTCAAATAAAACATGGAGAATACCAACCCAATCACACTTGATGGAGAATTCCAGGTACCTAGGAATCGTCATCGATGAACAAGGAGGATCCGATGCAGACTTAAAGGCAAGGATTGCAAAATCAAGGGCAGAATTCCTATAATGGAAGAACATATGGAACTCAAAACAACTTTCGACCAATATCAAAGTCATGATTTCCAATACGAACGTCAATACAGTTCTACTGTATGGAGCCGGAACTTGGTGAACTGTTGCAACCATCATCAAAATAGTACAAGCATTCATAAATAACTGTCTACGCAAGATGCTGAATGTCCGTTGGTCGGATACCATCAGCAACAGCTTACTGTAGGAGAAAACAAACCAGCTTCCAACTGAAGAGGAAATTAAGAAATGACGCTGGAAATGGATAGGACATACATTACGGGAATCGCCAAACGGCATCACGAAGCAAGCCCTAACTTAAAATCCTGACGGGAAACGGAAAAGGAGGGGGGTAAGAAAGTTGACGATACTATCCGGTTGTCCGAACCGCAGTAGTTAGATGAATTAGGGTTAGAACATATGACTGATAGTAATGACGATAACAATAATAATAAAATTCTGGATAGCTTTATACACTAGACTGCCGCGCTGCATATAAATTCGATACATCTCACTGAACTATTTGAAACAAGCGTTTAAATATTACCATTCGAAAATGTCACGTTATTGTTGCTGACATCAATTGATATATTGTCAAAAGTAGTGGTAATATGAGAATTATTGCTCTAGATGATAGGGTATTATGTCATACTGTCGATTCTACTAAATGTAAATATCTTTAATATAATTCTTTCCACTGATTCGTTACACAGTAGGAAATTACACTTAAAGTAGTGACAATTTTAAGGTGTCACTCAAATTTATAAAAATACTCAGTTACTCATTGTTATATGATTGTGATACATTTATGAACTGAATGATGTTAAATAGTTGAAACACGACGATACGATTAATTAATTTGAAGTAATCTTGCACGATCCCTGGATATTCCATTTGACCATACATTGGGGCACGTGTTGTCGATGCACACTGCTTAGAAGTCTTAAAACTAGGATAGAGGAACCGTACAGTATGTGCTTCGTAACTTTCAATGATTTTCAAGTTAGTGCCATTTCGTAATAAAAATATGATCTACAAAATTGGTATTTTATTATGTCTCAGTGTGACTCTGAAGAATGCTTAAGTTGTTACTGAATGTTGCATTAATGTTTCTCGTTAATTTGACACGTTTAAAACAAAAATGAAACAAAACGTTTTGAAATGGAGTTCATTGCTAACATTCTCAATTTAAACTCAGTTATTAATGGATGACAGGAGTTACCTTTCTTTTGTAATAATGATACTAATAATAGCGATAATCTAGTTCTTTTGCAGGTTTATTTACTCGTCTTCAAGTCATATTGTTTGATGTGTAAGGCATGCCGTAACTCAAATATCTAAAGTGAATTCTTTGCAAATTTTCCGCTTACCAAATAAAATTCATTTATATCAAACCAATATGTTAGTTATTTTTTCTTCAACGTTATAAACGTTAAAAACAGTCTCATACTTTCTCTTTTGAAGTTCATGTTCAATTTATGTTATAACTTGTGGCCTGTGCACCCTGCTAATGTATAACGTAACGATACCGCCAATTAGAAAGCAGTGAATTATCGATCGGACCAATGACACATAAAACCCGTGTGAGCAGTCTAGAGTCCAGATTGATCCTACTTTCCGCCTAGCCCAGTCTGTTAAGTTCAGTACACAAATCTCAGCTTCTGCGATATCAATCATGTATTTCAAACATACTGGGTTTATATACAAAACCAAACAGACTACATCGTACCAATAAAATGGAAAATAACATTTGTACAATATTTAGCCAAATGTGGCTGTGAATGTGTGAGGTGGTAATTAATAGACAAGGCATAACTCAAGAATGGTAAATCATACAACAATAGTTCATAGGTCAAAATAAAGCTCATAATAAGAGGGACATGAAATATGAACAGTGTAGTTACTTAACAATTATACCACAAAAATACACTCATGGTACTGGTCCATAAATGGATCCCCAAAGTTACCATTCATTATGCTTATCGGGGTATAACAATTTAATAGTCGTTTCTTGGAAATATTTTTCATCAAAATTTTCTATTATTATTATGAATAAGGAAATCAATGAAATTCGTTGATTTTCATAACATTTTCTCTTGATAGATCTATTTGTTGGACAATTAATGAGTACGCTTGAATGTGGCGAATGTTCATTCAAATCAACTACATTTGATCCATTTTGGGATTTAAGTTTGCCAATACCGAAAGTAAGTTGTTCATTGTTTTGTACTAAAATTTAGAAGAAAATTAAATAAATTTTTTGGAATTTTATTCTTAGTTTTAAAATGCAAAAAAAGAACGTGTTTGTAGTTTTGCGACATTGCAGTTTCATGATTCCCATATAGAGTCGAACCCCATAACACGTATAGGTCTCACGTGGCATCTAATCGCAGACTGAGACAAAATCTACTAAAGTATGCAAACATTTTACTGTGTTTAGTTTCATAATTTTCTAATGTTAATTGGACGCAACCTTATGAAATAACTGGAAAGGGTTGTAGCTTAGGTACTTACTGGTTAGTGTTTTTTAGGAAGGTTGTTTTCTGCGGGATGGGGTTGCTCATCCTCCTCCTTTATCCGGACTTGGGACCGGCAGTAACCCTAGAAGAGCTACTGATGGGGTTTGTGGCTAAGGTGGATGTATTGAATAGTTCCCAATTTTTTGAACTGTTTGGTTGACTTAGTCTTGTTATTAGAGTCAACATCATCACTGTCATCGCTGATGACAAATAGAATTAAATGTTTTTCAAAGTGCTAATAGCCGTCTGCGATTGTTGAACTGAGTCATGCTAGAAGGTGCAAGCCACCTTGTTGCGGTCAGGGTATTACCAATGATCGGCGTCGGATGATATGACACAAAATCTATTGCACTAGTCCTGGTTCATTCACTATTTCTTTCTCCTAGAATTTAAATTTTAAAATAGTTTTGCACATTTTATTCCGGGAGTTTATTCTTCATTCTAGAATCATATTGTTTATACTTAGTGATTTTGCTATCATTGATAGTAATTTGGTATTTGTTTTGATAGCTTCATTCGAGTGTGTTGATATGCTGTGGCAACTTGAATTGATGAACATGTATGTGAGATTGTATTTTGTTATCAACTAATTAGAAAGGTTCTACTTATGTGTCATGTAGCACTTGTAACACGTTATTTGACCTTCGATTTTACCTGTATAATCATGTCAGTTAAAAGTCTAAATGGAACAAAGATGCCTGTTACTATCCATCTGGCATTTTAGTACTCTGATGAAAGGTTTGGAAATGTGGAGATTTGTGTCATATTACTCAAACGTTTCCAACTGTCGTAGATTCAAGTGATAGAAGGCAACTTCATTAGTAACAACATGTAAATGTTTGGGTCAACAACATTTAAATCCCTATATTTTAGGTTTTGATTAATACTGTGACAGAGTTTGGATAATCCTTTCGAATGAATTGTTCTGTTGTTCAACTGATCATCATAAATCACTTGACCGTTTCTCCATTATTATTTAATACTATTTGAAATCTATATGCAGAAATATATTTTTTAAATAATAACTTTTCTTAGTCATACTAAGTATACAGTATTCTGATATTCCTATGGCTCAACTGATTGGATTTGAAACCGTGCTTATTCATGATATTACTTGCTTACTTACGCCTGTTACCTCTCGTAGAGGAGCATAGACCGCTCACCAGCACTCTCCATCCAACTCTGTCCTGGCCAGTCATTTCCATTTCTTTCCAGTTATTATTCATCCTTTTCATGTCTGCTTCCGATTCCTGACTTAGTGTGTTCTTCGGCCTTCCTCTTTCCCGTTTCCCTTCAGGATTCCAAGTTAGGACTTGCCTCGTAATGCAGTTTTATGATTTGCATAATGTATTTCCTATCCACTTCCATCGTAGTTTTATAATTTCCTCTTCAGCTAGAAGTTGGTTAGTCCTCTCTCACAGAAGGCTGTTACTGATGGTATCCGACCAATGGATATTGAGTATCTTGCGTAGACAATTTACGATGTTGAGTGCAATCTATTCTTTTTTTATCATGAAGTCAGTAATCAAATACTCACCATTATGACTCAGACTACTGATTATTACTAGTTACTAGAAATGTTACTCAATTTCGATCCGAATCTACTTAGAGTTCTGTTACAATTTAACTCGATCACGTACAAAAAAAGGAATTTGTTAGATAGATGGATCAACAAGCATATCATGTGCTCCATTTATATACGTGTTTATTGTCTATTTGATAGTAACGTGATGTTTACACGTTTATGTATATCGTCAATATCAAAATAAACCATATATATACATGTAATTGCTTCAAAAAAGATTGTTATTAATGCCCAATCAAAAGTACAAATTTATTTATACCTTTTTTCTTTATAATCTTGTTTATGTATATCTCATACTTGTTAAAATTCCAATGTACATCTTGATGTCAGTTGAACAAATTGATTTGTAAAAAGCAAAACTTTAAACAGAATTGATCAAATAGTAAACAGAGATAAATTTTAGATTGTAGTGGTGGAATCTAGTAAACTCTGTTCGTTTTCTATGTGGGACTCGTTAGATGATGGGTGTTCCTGCATTTCAGAGTTGATGCTCACTCTATGAATCGAACCCAGATCGTATCAATATCAATATCAGGATAGTAATATTGTTTTGTATTCGATAAATAGTTCAGTTATCATCTTCTTGAATATTGATAATTGAGCAATCATTTTACACTTTATAGGGATAAGAGGTGAGGTTATTGAGGTTGTTCATTTTAAAGTAAGTTTTCATCACTAACTGACTTACACTGCATAGCTGTCGAGAAATAACACAGAACATTGAATTGCAGTTACAGTCTACTCCGTGACTTTTCACTGTTGTGAACCAGTTAACCCAAACATACATACACGAATAAATTCAACACTTTTGGGTTTCGTTTTGGTCACAGCACGTTCTAGGTCAGAATCCACATTTTCAACTTCAGTCAATTTGTTGTGTTACTGGGCAAAATCGGATCACGATTTTCTTTCATCAATCAACAGCAACAATATTGCAATATTGATTTATTCCGTTTCATTGAGTGAATTACAACGTGATTTATCACAACGCAATCATCATTAAAGTCCTAATAATACAACGTGGATTTCTCCTATTTACTCAATCAGTGATATTTCAGCGATCCGATCAATTTATTCATATTGTTTTCAAGTTGAGCAACCTATAGACAGCATGAATTTCATCATTTAATTTAAAGAGAAAAAGCATTACAGAATGAAATCAAAAGAGAGAATATAGTTTGTTCTGATTCAGATTTGAATTGTTAGTAATTGACGGGCCTAATGTTAGCTTGACTACCAGTCACTTCCATAATACCTATCGTAGAACCTCACATATATGTCCATCAATTCAAGTTGCCACAGCATATCAACACACTCGAATGAAGTTATCAAAACAAATACCAAATTACTATCAGTGATAGCAAAATCACTAAGTATAAACAATATGATTCCAGAATGAAGAATAAACTCCCGGAATAAAATGTGCAAAACTATTTTAAAATTTAAATTCTAGGAGAAAGAAATAGTGAATGAACCAGGACTAGTGCAACAGATTTTGAGTCTACTCATTCAACTTCTCCGAACACTATTTATGGTATTTGTAAAGACCTCAACCATGTAGGCTGTACTTATCTACACGGCTCATTCCAACAGTCAAGGATTACATGAACTGATTCCATCATCTTCTGGTTCGACTATCCTTACCATCCCTTTACGTCACTCTTACATCAGCAAACATCATGGATGAAGGTTGGTAGAGTTTTTTGGAGACCATTAGAAGTTCAATAAATCCAAGCAATAAGATCGATCATTGAGAATTAGGAAGTACGGAACATCAATTTCTATTTAGTGTGGAATTCTTGGATAGTGTTTGACATGTCCTATAGCCTGCAAATTATCATGTGACAACATCGCGAATCAAAACACTGACTTATACGACCTTGACCCTATGCCAAACCAATGACGCATTAACAGGTACGGACGGTCTAGAATAGTCGGCTTCGAGTCCTTTTTGGTTCTTTTTGCCTTGCCCTGCCCTGCCCTGCTCACTGAGTCAAGAACACAATCTCAACTTCCACTTTATGAACCATGTATTTTAGTCATACGCAGTTTATATACAAGCAAACCAGAACTCATCACACCATAAAATAGAAAATAACAATTATACAAGACCAAAAAAAGTGGCTGTGAGTGTGAGATTAAATAATAGATTGGGAATAATGTAAGAATAGTAAATCGTATAGTAATAGTCAATAGGTCAAATGACAACTTATGATAAACGGAATATGGATATACATATAATATAGTTACTTAGCATTTACACAACAAGAACATATATATAGTCCATAAATTATTCCTAGCAGTTACCATTCATCTATTCCTTGTTGGGATATAACATTGGTCTTGAGTGCTGTTAGAAGTATGTGGGCAGTTATCACTTCCCGGTTGCCCACACCGTGGAAGGGTTCTTCTGGAGGTACCTGAAAAGGAAATTGGATAAAAGGTGGTCTTAGTGACCTGGGAGCGTGACCGCAGTGCCCAAGGGACAACTGCTTGAGGTCGGCCACATTCGACTTTTTGTGAGTAATTCTCGTGTTAGGTCCATGTTTGTTGAGACCTTACCACCGGAGACGGATATCAGTGGGATAAGGTGAGGTGTGCATTTTTATGGTCGACCTTTTCTAACCCAAACCCTCCTTGTGGAAAGGCAGCATCTCTATTGTGCTGGTTGTCCGAGGGAAACACCTTACTGTTGTCACACCTTTGTACAATCAGCAGTACGACTTCGCTCTCGGACCTTGTGTTTCCTGCTTCTAGTTCTACCGTTCTTCACTCAACCTATCTGGCATGGTGGGACCTTGAGGAACGATTGATGTAGCCAGTATAGCTCGATTGGTTCATGACGATAGGCAAGCCCGACCACCACGTCAAGGTAGCAACAACGGTCGGTGTACATATGTGCCTGGTCCTACGTTGTAGCTGACTGACTCCGATATAACAGTGTTCATTCACGATGTCTATATTAGTTGACCCATTATATTAAAATCTCACACTGAGCATATTAACAAAAAACATTGTGCATAAGTAATCTGTTATTAGAATTTATCTGTATGCTAGTAATATTAGATTATCTTTGTAAATATTTGATGATGTAACTTGTTAAATACCATGTCATCAATTAGATATTAACAAATTACACATAAATAAAACCATCATTATTAGATAAGGGATTTGTAGAAATTGTAATAATTTTTAATAGTTGGATTTATGAGTCGATTTTAGCTAGACCACCATTGAAAACCTGAAAGCAAGATGATTGATGCTCATTTCTGAGGAGTCCCATACTAAAACGAAACAGCCGTCCAATGATTGCAGGTTTTCAACGGTGGTCTGGCTTAAATGGACTCATGAATTCAACTATTAAAAACCATCATTACTAATTTTCTCTTACTTCAATTCTATTTTAACTCTCTTCTCTTTCTTCTCTCAAACAGTAGTTGCTAAGTTTAATTTAGTTTTTTTCTGTCTTACTATTATTGATTTAATTTTTTTTTTCATTTTCGATTAAATTATCTTCATTTACAATCAGCTTTACACCCTACTGTTTATCGATTTCTAAGGATAACTTATTTACACTTATGATGGATATTCCGATAGAGAATAAGAAAGAGAATGATTCTTTTCTATATTATGTGATAATCTAATTGAGAAAAAAAATCTATTTTTTCTCATGTTAACTAGATACCCTACTGTTTTGTGGTACTTCTATTAATATTTCGAAACGTTGACTCATAGAATGTAAAAAAAATTATCGTTTAGAATGGTAAAGAGATAACAGGGAATGGTAGTTCTCTTCATGAATGATAAACAAAGATTTATTTGGGAGTTTATCTGGAATAGATGTATTCTAAGTAGTGATGACAATCCAAGTACACATAAATTCTCTAAAGCTGTACAGTTCTAGATATAAAATTCTTCATTCCTTTGATAGATAGTTCATTTTCCAGTTAGTTAGTAATCCTAAATTGAATCGTAAGCTACGTCTTCGGTATAGTAAACATTTTTTGTTAAATGTGTTGTGCATACTAAACTATTTACTACCTCAAAGAAAGAAAACTTGAGTTTATCAAAGTCCGGCATGTTATCAGTCTATAAAATCGTATAGGGATGTGTAGATGTTTGGGTTGGTGTATTATCTGAAAATCAGTATCACCGACACAGATCTATTATTCCTCATCCCATAAATTAGAAGTTCAGTATAGTGGCAAATATTGTGTTCTTCTATTGCTATTAATTTTCAACCGTATTTCGTATGTCTAAGGATTCAGTGATCAATGTATTTTACTACTCACGTTTCTCATTAGTATAGGGGTTTATGGATATTGTTGGACGTTATTGACATTACTAGCCATCCCGAGTTAAAGATCCATTGGAAATCAGGGAACAGTGGAGAACTGCTTTGTCTTAGTACAAGTTGCTCATCGGTGCACATTCGCAACTCAAGACGAGACCGAATCCAAGACTTTTGTTGCCATGTCAGACGCTTGACCTCTAAGCCACTGAGCCAACATCTAACGATATAGTAACTTCGAGAAGGTAATTCTGGAATTTTAGTGATAAGTAGTGACCGGCGGAGCTGATTACCCACTAAAAAAAATGAAAAATCGTTGGTCAACATTGCTAACTCTCTGAGGTTAAAAATGTGCACGATTGGATGCCGGCTAAATGATTCGCAGGTTAAGCGTTCATGCATGAGAGCGAAGGCCTTAGGTTCGATCGCTAGAGGCAGGGTCGTGGATGTGTATTGCTGGAGTTCCTTACTAATACGAAACAGCTGTTTAGTGCTTCCTGGATTTCAGTAATGTTTAACATCGGTCTGCTCATGGGCATAAATTACGTTTCTATAAATTTCATTTAAGTTTCGATTCCATACTTAACATTGGGCAACATAATCACTGATAATAGATCACAACGAAATCACTGTACCTTTATTGAATTTGAAATCGATTAGGTCATCCATATTTTCACTTTATTTTCAAACAAAAAAAACACAACAACAACTCGTTTCTATCCTAAAGTACATGTTCATTTCTTATAGTAATTATCTGTCCCTTTTTTTTATATTTCCAACTATCATACTATCAAGTATCAACTTTATAATCAATCATTTCATTGCCATTCAATATTCATTGAAATTTATACACTGAGTATCAGTAATTGTTTTCAATAATATCTAGTGTATTCATGAAGTTATTGGAATTCTTTCTTACTTATTAGTAGTCTTCTGTTTAATTTCTTTCATCTTATAGTATTCTCTTCATTTATAATTTATACTATATATATATTTGTCTGTGTATTTATACTGTATGTATGCCGGGTTTTTAATTGTAACTCAATTACAATTTACTAGTCTGAACTTTGAATACAGCAATGAATTATAAGACAGTATTCATTATCAGGTGATTGCATATATATGCTTGTGTATTCAATGGCACTATCAGTAATCAATAAATCAAACATAAGAAATTGTAAGTAAAAATGGATGGTAGCTAGTATTGGAATGCAGGACGCTTATTTTGTCCTAATTAGGATTTGTCAGCCGGACGTACCCGCATCCCAAAGTTGATTTTCACTCCGGGACTCGAACCCAGTACCATCCGCTTCAAACGCCATCGCGTTATTCACTTAGCTACTGAGTTTTAATGAGCCCCAAATAGGACGAAACGCGAGTCCTGGATTCCACTGCTAGCCACCATCTATCTTTGCTTATAATGCTTGTGACTTAAGGTAATATCGAGACAATCCATACAGGATGCAGAAATGCCTATAAAAAAGACTGATTGATTGTAGTCCTAAAAATAGATGGTAAGATTCAAACAAACAGTACAAAATGAATAAGAAATTGTGCCTAATTATTCTTATAAATATAAATTTAGTCTATCTGTGACAAAATCTTGGTAGGGATATAAAAACCTGATATAACTTTTGCCTATATGCGTCACCAGAATCACAGGCGAGATTCCTTTCTTACCAGTGAATTAAAGGAGTACACTAGCCAGTATTTTTTCTGTATTGATCTTTGACTATAAAACATGACCTGTGAATTCAGAACACATGCATAATCTTCAAGTCTTTGGTTATACGTGACTTCTAAGGACTTTCCGCTCATCGTTTGGTTACCAAGTTAGTATTCCTGAGACCAGATACACGGTAGAAAGTAGAGATAGTAGGTTAAGTGATAATCCGCTAACTACGTTGCTAAGTTCCATATGCTGACGACAATCGGATGTTAGATACATAGGGTGGAACGCTCAGAGTAATCTCCGTTGAGTCAGATAATCTCAGTTTTTGTGTTCCACTAAGTTTCGACATACTGTGTTATTTCGTAATTCGTAATTCTCGAATTAACCCTCTCTTCTCGAGCCATATTCTTGATTGATATCATTATTTTGACTAATTTGCTATGATATATATACCTATCAAGTAGGTGAATATTCTCAAAGTCGCTATAACATCGCTCAAAGGTCGTCTATAAATGATAGTCTCACTCATCACACCTTATTCTTACACTTGGAGACTAATTGAATTACACTTATACAAGTAACTTTATAGTCGTGTTAGCTCGACGCACGTATGGTGCAGGATAGATATGAGTCTGCCTGTGTGTGGCGTAAATGCTTCATAGCAATTCACAGTGTATTTACGGATGGTTTAAGTGGAATATAAAGATGAATTTGAAAGATATGATTCAGTCACTAACTTTCAATCACATATGTTGTCGAAATGAGTTAGACAAAGGATATTAATGCTGAAACCCAATATATGTCACTAGTCGATCAACTCTATCGACTATGAAGTCGTGCCCATACCAAAATACACAAGCTTCCTTGATTGTATCCCGTATGATAATTATGATAAGTGAGTGAAGATCTAAAATAATGGAAATTGTAATCCGTCACTTTGTTAAAGATGAATTCATTCCTGATTTTCTTACAACTCTATAGTTCGAATATTATTTTATAATTCCCATATTTCTTAATGTTATTTTTTTCGTGGCATCTTTTTTTCTACTGTAATCAACATTAAGGTTTTTCCGACACAATAGCTTTTATTCTTCCATAATAAATTTCTCTCATTATACATACATAAGATGCTGTAATTTAGTCATATCAGTGAATATTTATACTAGGTCCTACTTCTATAATAACTAGCTAAACGACTGACTGACTAAGTTTAAGCGGGAGCTTCTATGAGGTGTTGAAATTGTTTTTTTAGTTTTTAATATGATCTTCATTGTCTTTTTTTCATTTGCACCATCTCATTAATTTACTAGAAATCAAACGTCAGCATATTGGATTGTTTAAATTTATTCACATCTAAAGAAGAACTAGATGGTAATGAAAGACCCGTAAGTTTCATATTATTATTAACATTTATTTATAATTGTAGACATGTTATTGTTATTTTTATCATTATTGGTGGTAGCAGTAGTTGTGGTAATGTAGAGAACGAGGACTTGGTGGGGAAATCCAATTTATTGTTTAATGCAAAATTACAGAGTGTCTTGGTTAAGCGTGGAAACTATACATTAAATTCTTCATTTGCACATCCTTTCATCGTTTGTCCTTCACATGCTTCATGCTTTGAATTCCGTTGTTATTACAATTACTTCCTGTATCCCTTTCTGTTTTCTTCAGTTTAACCTTATTTTGACAGGCATTCCACTTCTGATTGATGTATATACTACGTATATCTGTCGACGTAAGTAGTATACACCACAGTAGTAGTAATAGTTTTACTGTCAGTTTACTGAATAATGAAAGCCTCTACGATATTATTTTTACTAACAATAACATTCTATTAAAAATACAACGGTCAATTCAACTAGTTTAAACATTTTATACAACGAGTTAATAGCACTTTTTGATTGCCTAAACGAAAGTAAAGGAAACCTGTAACTGGTTAATTCATAGTAAGATGTGTTTAGTTGTTTTGACCCGGATTCATACTTTGTTGTGAAAGTATATAGCATGTTCATAATTTGCATAATTAAAAAAGATCAGTTGAGCTGTACTGTTATTTTTATCTTAATTGGTTATTTTATTTAACATTTTCGATGGTAGATTATGGTTATTTTCTAGTTCTCAACCAAGAAATCTGAACCCATTGACGGACCTTAGGAAAACAGTCAGTGTTTTAGCGGGTTTATTCTGTGTTTTGTTCCATCAGTTCCTAGTTATTGTTCCCATTGTTCTGTGGATTATACGTCAAGATAATAGTTGATTAAGTATCCATAACACATATATTCCACCCACCTTAGTCAATAAAGATTCATAGCTTCATCAATCGATTTGTCATTTTTATTAAGTACGTTGGATCTTACTTCAGGATTACTCACTTGTTCGTTCCACAATAAACAAGCAATGTTTTTATTTCAGAGATCTGACTAATAAATCCATGCACACATTAATCTTTCGTTCATTTTACAATGAATTAAATTCAAGTAAGCAGAATGCAACTTTCTTGATCATTTTCATTCCAGTTCAAAGTCGTTTTCAATAGCGTATTTACATTCACTTTTTTCTCCTTAGATCCCAAGTTTTTTAAATGCTTTATAAATTCCCTTTATTTCACCAATTTATATTTTCTGGAATCTTATCGTTGTTACCTAATCTTCCCTATTTCCACTTATATTTCTACTACTGTGGTGTGTGCTACTGATATCGACAGATATAAGTAGTTTGTACCACCAATCGAAAGTGGAATGCCTGGCAGAAGAAGGTTGGAAGAATCGAATAGAAGAGAACGGGAACAGAGAGTGATTGGTATGGAAACGAAGGAACAACAAAGTCTGAGACGATTGATGGATATTTTGCAAATGATGTATTTACTGTATAGTTCTCAGATTTTACCAAGATATTCTGTAATGTTGTATTCAAACACATCTTATGCGTTTGGTCAGAATAACAATGAAAGCTTCTCAATTGAACCGCTCAGCACATGGAATACCTATGCTATACTTTTATCCGTAAAATTTGATTTGTGCGGGAAGTTTTCAGTTTTTTAATGGTGTTCTAGCTTAGATCAACTACAATCTCCACAAATCTTCATACTCATAAAATTAATTCGCATATATATCTATCAAGTCATGGAAACGAAAAATATACGTAATATGATAATTTATTGAACATGTGACTATTATTTTCACTTCATGTCAAAATGTTCTTTTTTCAACATGGACATATTCAAACATTACGCATTAGCTTTAATAACGCTATTCATTTTCCAATAGGAAAAGACTACGTTCTATCGTTTCTGTCATAAAATATTGATAAATATCTATCTATTATATTTTACGAATGTTGGTACAGTAAAGAATATGATTTCAGTGGGATTATAAGACTACATAGTGTATGTGATGGAAAAGTTGGAAATTACATTGTGGATACCACATCAGTTGAATATATATATCGGACTTAGAAATGATCCGCATAAAACCTTGAGTTTTGGTTATCACTCATAAAAATGTTTGTCCAGTTATGAATGGAAATTGTCACTGTGGATTGGATTCGAATTCGTTCCATAACCACAGATATTATTACTACCGAGCTATTTGAACCAGCTTGATTCTTAAATTCAGTAAGGCTACTTTTCGGTTTATAGAAATGTGTATTTTGTTATCATGACGAATAAGTCGGATTTCCGACTGGTTCGTAGGAGTTGTTTGAATCTTCCCGTTGTTGATGTTGAGGACTAAAATTGATCAATCTTCTCTAGCATATGGGCATCTAGCATTACTACGTATTCATAAACATTTTAAGCTATCTGATAACGACTAGAAGTAGAAATTAGGGGGTTTGTTCCCTCCTATTCGAAACTCGTCAACTACACACGATTACACCTCAGTGTTGGTGTTTACCTTTATTGTGCAAGCTAGTGGATATATTAACTCATTAGCTAAATAGATAACGCGTCTGACGTTTGAAACGAAAGGTTGCCGGGTTCGAGTCCCACTGCGAGTGTCTATACAGCTCCAGATAAACCCAGCTGACAGGTTCCAAAATGGGATGAAACTCACATGGATTCTATTGCTAGCCACTTTCTAATTCTGTTTAAAAGGCAGCTGAATATTTTTACATTAATATTTTGTTTTACCCCAATTCTATAAATAGACGGAAGAAATCAATTGCATTTTTCTGTTTTTCTTTTTTTATTTTTAAATGAACAGATTTGTAGTCGATGTAAAACTCGAAGAAGGTGTACCAAAAGTTTTTCCATTCAGAAATTCCCACAAATTCTTGTACTTCGTATCCTTTTTACTGTTTTGCTGGATTTAGTCATTTTATTAAAAGGGAAAAAGTTATTAGTTATTTATATTTTGGAAGAATCTGTAATATATTAACATATTTTCGACTACTTGATTCATTGCTGTCCTACAGGATGGATATAATAGTTATTTTGCCATATCTAAATATTTATTTATAGAATAAAGTACATTTATTAAGTTATAGTATTTGTTTCAATGTCTTTCTAACTTTACTGTGGCTAACTATTCAGTAAGAAGAGTAATTGATATACATAATGCTAGTCTAAAATCATAGTTCATCCTCCATGTTCTAATACTATTGTTCTGGTCACCAAACTTAAATGTTAGTCGACGTCGTGTTTGTTTGGTCCAAAGTGCTGATTGAATCCTATCAATCAATTTCCAATATAATAATCACTAGTCTAAGTGACTGAACACCGCATGAACATTGTTTCGATGTGACATCGTTGAAGGTATCTGGCAGAAAGCTATGAACCCATGTCTCTTGTTAGTTAGTTCTTTTTGTCAAGGTGTGATTAAGAAGGAGGTCAGTGACGCTCAGAATAATTTAATGGTAACACCACGATGCACTTTCGAATCCAACAGAGCATAAATTTCCATTAAACTTCAAGTGAACCTTAATGACAAATGCCAGTTAGTACGAAACCCATGTTCAGCGTTTCCTTCCAATTGTCTTCAATCGAGGAACATTGAAACGTTGTGCCCTGTTGTCGAAAGCCGAAATCTCGCTATTGATGTTCGTTTGATAAGCAGTTTATTTCTCTTTATTCTTTTGTAAATATTTAATGTTTGAAAGTGGAGTATTAGAAATGTCATAAAAATGCCTTTATCTACATGTAGAGGCTTACAGAATTTCTCATACTTATCAAATATCAAAACATTAGTGCACACAATATAGATTCACTAATACTAGTAGCTACATTTTAATTTGATCCGTGGAATTCAACTAAAACATGGCATCAGTGCTTGAAGTCACCAACTTCTGGTTCGAGCCATGTTGGTAGATGCAGACTACTTGGTTAGGGTTCGCGTGACTATCGTAACCAATGGTTGGAGACTGTGTGTGATATGTCTCAGAATCGATCACAATGGCGTTGGTGTATACACTATTTGTCTGCCCTTAAACTGTGAGATTAAAATCGCTTCATATCTTTCTTTTTACGAACTAATTCTTTCTTCCTGTATTATGTCCTTATTTACAATGTTTCTTTTACATATTACTACCATGGAACTAATTACTTCTATGAATTCGGTGTTCATCTTGTTGTGTTAATGAGATGTGGCAACTTGAACTGATGCATATATGTGTCTGATCCTACGTTGTCGCTGACTAACTGACAATAATCAAACATTGTCTACAAAATTATCAAGTGATACTAACATTCTAACATACTAACAAGTTAATTTTTACAATCCCATTTATTTACTTTTTTTAATTTTTTTTGGCACACATCCAAACATCTTTAGGTTTCTTATACATTTTGTACACTGAACCCCTACATAGAAAGTGAAAAACGATTATTATAACAGTTTGAATAAATATTATTATACATAATTAACGAATGAATATACTGAATTTCTACTATTTTCTGCCAAACGTAAAATAAACTTTACAGAAAGAAATGACGCCAGAATTTTTTTCTCTCTTTTTCTCCTTCTCCTCTTCCTCCTCCTCCTCATCATCATAATTTCTCCTTTGTTTTACAAGGAAATATGCATATACACATGGTACCATGTATATTTGTTTTGTTTTTTTCAAAGTACACATCTCATCCCCTTAAAAAGTTGTATTACGTTAGCTATTATAACATAATATGATATTGAAATTTTCAAGCGGCTTACTTAAATGATAAATTCAATACTTTCCATACTTTGGTATGGAAATCGTTAAAAAATAGTTGTATTAGTTAGAAAACAAAGTGATGTAATACCATGTGGAATATAACATTTTAGGTATTACTAATTGTAATGTGTTGTAGTATTTCGTTGTTAATAGTGTACACTGAATAAGATTATTTACCATTGATACTATTTGAGCTATTTGTACTATGGTATGCGCTACTTACTGATAAGGACAAATATAAGTAGTATTTAATAGGAATTAGAATTGAAATGTTTATCAATAGAAGATTGAAATAAAGAAACGAGGACTCAAAACAGAAAGCAATCAATGTAACAACAGAATTGGAAGAACGATAGAGTATGTATAGGACAACTCAAAGAAAATAAGCAAATTATGTATTCAATGTATGATTTTTAATTTAAGTATATATATAGGTGGTGAACGACAGATAGAACGTAAGGCTAGTTCCGGATAATAAAGTACAGTAATGCATAAATAGTTCTTAATGATTTTTTAAAATTGAATTCTGGTTTCCTTCTGTGAACTTTCATTATATTTGTCTAGAATATTTTACTTATTACCAATATCATCTTATTGATGTGCTAAGGTTAAATGAACAGATAAATAGATTGGATATCAATATATAAATTAGCACAAAGTTTGTCGGTCTATATGATGTAAATTAAAACAGAAGGAATTCTATTATATATATATTGAAGATAATTGGAGAATGCATGTCAATTTACAGGAATGATTAGATTGATACTGAAAATAATAAGGACAAAGATATTAAATTAAATTTCAATAGTTGAAATCATGAGTCAGTTGAAGCTAGAGCACCATGGAAAACCTGGTAGCACTGGACGGCCATTTCGTCCTATTGTGGGACTCCTCAGAAGTGCACATCCACGATCCCACCCCCTGCAAGATTCGAACCCAGGAGCTATCAGCCTTAACCACTAGAAAATGGTGGGCGGTGGTGCAGTTTCGTGGATTGGTTGAAGTTAGACACTAACACCGTTCGATGCAGGCCGGTCCAGTGGTCTAATGGTTAGGCGCTCGCTCACGAGACTGATAGGTCCTGGGTTCGAGTTTCGCGAGGCGGGATCGTGGATGCACATTGCTGAGGACGATATGGCCGTCCAGTGCTTCCAGGTTTTTCATGGTGGTCTAGCTTCAATTGACTCATAATCTCAACTATTAAAATTACTATGATATCCACAAAACCCCTTCTGTTAATAAGATTAAATTGTTTAGAAATGTGTGGTTCGTAAGCTGTTTTGAGAGGACACTTTTCCCCTTAAGATGATTGAAGTAATATGGGGCAACAGTTAAGGACCAGTTATTTTTAGTAAGGAAAAGATCAATAAAATCTTGTAAATATATCGTATACAGAAGAGTATTCTGAAACATTGATATTAGTAGAATACCAAAAGGTTAGAAATAATTGATTATCGAATGATCAAACACTAATGATAAGTAAGAAGTCTAGTCATTTATTCGTAAAATTATGAGACTAGAAAAGAAAATAACATAATTTGATAATGTTCAGAATCTTTTCAACTCTCATAATAAGTTTTGTGCATAATGGTCATCTGAAATGATAATGCAGCCAAATATATTATCCATTTTTTCCCATTACTCTCTAATAAAACTTCATAATTAATACGACGTTACCCGCAAATATTTTCTAGCCTACAAACATTTCAATGTATATAAAAAAAACATCATTCTTCTATATTATGTGTGTTTGGAATTTTTCCTTAACTAAAATGATCATAGATTTGAAACGTTTCTCTGGTGAACGTTTTCGTTCGAAAATGTCGGTTATGGTTGATTATCCTTTAAGAAATTTAGATCTTATTGGATTTGCTACTTCAAGTTGTAAGTTATTTTATCATATTTTATGTATGTTTTGTGGTACTTTTTTCATAATGTCAACCAGCTATAGCCGACGTAAAACTTGATACAAAGATGTACTTTCATTCCGATTTGAGAAGTAGGTAGATAATAACAATATATAATTCAATGAAAAGTCGAAGGATGACAAACAGTCGGTAACTATAATGATTAATACTATATCTCCCTTTGATTGTCCCTATTCTTTATTTAAACTTTCTATGCTAACCAATGTTGCTTATCAAAGTGCAGTAAACGATCAAGTATAATGTTTATTTGTTATTTATTTATTTTAACACATAGATATTGGTACAAGGAGGCACCAAATACATATGCGCCACATAAATCTCATTTGATATGTGTGAGGGCTGTGATACTGCCTGGGTGCCCAAACCGAAGCAGATGGTCTTCTTAGGGAGTCACACCCGGAGCCTTCGACCTGGAGGTCTGATCCACAAGGCAGTGGAGCAACGTTAAGAGATGCAGTTCCATTGCAACCGGTGACCAACAATTGATTCATCCGCTATTTGTTCCCTCAAGACCCTGGAGCCCATGTGCACCATTGGTTTAGAATTAGGGTTTTCCAACTCCCCTAGGTGGACCCTCTGTGTCCACCGACCCGGTTAAAGTGCCGGACATTCGCTTTTCCTCCTCTCAATTACGTAAACATCCCCTCACGAGAGGGCAGTGAGTAGGACTTCAGTGGCAGAGGATATATACGCGTGGCCATGTGAGAGTATTTCGAGAGGTAGAGCGGATTTCCCCACTCTCGGCCGTAACAGGGCATTTGGAGGCTTGTGATTGATATTTGATAATAATTGGTATTAGATTTTGTAAGATTTGTATCATGAATCTTTTTTCTGAACTTAAAAAACAGATTTTTAAACATTATTCAATTAGAATTACGAAAGGCTCACCGATAAAACTTTGCTAAAGTTTATTCAAAGAGGACCCAATTATATTATTGATTAGGTATTTGAACTGAAAACAGCTATATATTTTTTAGTGTAGAGATTGATAAAATGCAGTCTCGTAAACTCCGTGGGCCATAATAAATAGAAGTTAGAAATACATTTTTCCTTTTCTAAGTATAGAATGTCGCTTCACCAACACCTTGCTCTAATCTAACCGTAAGAATTATGGTAATCAACCATGTTGGGCATTTCACTCCTTTTGGGGGTTTTTTCATGTCATACAGGCTGATAAGGTCTTGACGTGGATACAAAACTTACTCAGCTTTTCGAAGCTTACCCTATTCGTAGCGCACTCGAGATATTTGTCTGCCAATGAAAGATTGAGGACACTGTGCATCAGTGTCTGTGAGGTAAAAGTCTTAAAAGTCCAAGTTTTTGCATAGTTTGAGAGTGTTTAACTGAAAGTATCTTTAGAACTGGTTCATATCTGTTTTGTTTAAAATACGCAAAATATTCAACCACATAATGGAAATTTGCTCATCCGTATCGAACATTATAGTTGTGAATATTGAAATAATTTTATTGGTTATAAATAGATATTTTTCTGATTAACTATTACATCGCAACAATTTTCAACTAACTTATTTATAGTGATAATTCTTATGAACAGAAACTATACTTGCTTAATTTATCTAAGATTGGCAATTATTTTTATTTGTCATTATTACTCTACACATAGTTTCTGTGATTATTTCATTTTTCATTAACTGTACATACTAGTATAATATCACATATATGGTAATAATAATAGCAATAATAATAATATTAATAATAATAATAATAGTGAGAAGCCGTGACCAGTGGAGTTCAACCGGGTCTGTTGTGAGATAGTAACTCACTGGGGACAATCGTGGATTGATCGGAGTTAGACATTATCACCGTTGGATGCCGGCCCAGTGGTCTAATGGTTAAGCGCTCGCACGCGAGACTGATAGGTCCTGGGTTCGAGTCTCGCGAGGCAGGATTGTGGATGAGCACTGCTGATGAGTCCCACAATAGGACGAAATGGCCATTCAGTGCTCCCAGATTTTCCATGGTGGTCTAGCTTCAATTGACTCATGATCTCAACTATTAAAATTTCTAGAATCCCCACAAAACCCCTTCTGATATTAATAATAATGATAATAATATCGTTATGATCGTTATACAATTGATTATAATATTAGTTTCAAGTTTATTTGTCAATTTCTCGGTTTTGAACATATACTGTCCTAATCAATTTATGTAATAATATTTTTATCGAGTCCATTTCAAAGTGCTCATCCACTTTTAAGGAGTCCCATACTGGGACGAAACGGCCATCCAGTGCCTACAGGTTTTCAATGGTGGTCTATTATTGATGTATTCATGATATCAATCTAAACTCAACAATCTCCACAACCCCTATACTAGTATATTTGTAATGTAGAGTTGTATGTTATTTGTTTATACTATTAGTGATTTATAAACGTACTTCGATTAAAATGAAAGTAATTTGAATAGTTATAGTTTGAAAATTTGCTATCATTCTGACTCGGAACATTTTATCAAGTAACGAAGAGAGGTTCATTGTGTCATTGAAGAATGAAGGTAATTCAGGGAAGAAAATTTTCTTTTCTATCATTTCATTTACATATGTTGTACAATCATCTTGACAGTTATTTTCCTATTCAAAAATTGTAGTCCATAGTAGAATAGAATAGGGTTGAATGATTATGGAGAAAAAAAATTAAAGTGGTATGTTGTCATGAATTGTTCATGAAAATTAGATATTGAAAGGAAGTTATGTAATAATTGGTTGATGAGAAGTGTTACTGTGACAATAATCGTTCACTTGATAGCTATTATGGGCGATGCATATCTATCATTTTATTTGCTCATATGAAGCATGTTATATTGGCCGCACAAAGCGAGCTCTCTAGACTTCTAAAGGGTTACAGAAGTCAATCAAAAGCTCAGTCTTAGAACATCTAGTTGATTCTGGCCACCTTACTTCACCAGAAACCTTATTCAAAATCATACATACAGTCAGAAGAGTCGGCTTAAAAAGAATGCAAATGAAAAACTTATGTACATCAGAGGCTGTTGCTATCCACCACTTTAAAACTCACCTTTGCATACATAAACAGTATATTCAGTCTCTCATTCTTACATTTTCTTAACCTTCTTTTCTATCTACCATAATTTACATGTTTGTTTTTTTCGAATTATCATTTCTACTCCTTTTCAATTATTTTCACACCTATTAATTATCCATTAGTACAACCTTAATGGCTATCAAGTGGACGATTATCGTCACAGTAACACTTCTCATCAACCAATTATTACATAACTTCCTTTCAATATCTAATTTTCATAAACAATTCATGACAACATACCACTTTAATTTTTTTCCCCATAATCATTCAACCCTATTCTATTTTACTATGGACTACTATTTTTGAAAAGGAAATTAACTATAAAGACGATTGTACAACATATGTAAATGAAATGATAGTAAAGAATATCTTCTTCTCTGAATCACTTTCTTTATCAAGTCTCCTGCATATAAGCACTTACGGAACTAAACCCGATAACATTCAATTTGTTTTCAGAAATCACATGATATATTTCAACAATGGAGTCGGAATACTATAAGTTATATTTTCAACTTAAATCTTGTTTCTGATGTAGTTTACTTCACAATTAGGACTTATGAAGAACATCGGCAACAAAGCTAATTACAAATAAACTTATCATTATTTTTTTTAGCAAGATGAGTGGCTTTAATCTATCAAGTGTATCATATTTTTCATTGATTCTATTTATCCTATCAATATTCAGAGCGATTTAATATGTAACATCTAATTAAGTAAGTGATCCACTGGCAGATAAATAAAGGCTAACTTCAGGAACCCCTAGACACAGGATTTGTAATAGTTATCACTCATCTAGAGAGCGGTTCTGCAGTCTTATGGAAATCGATGTTCCCTGTTAGATTCAATTCTGAAACACCTAGTTTCATAGTGTGTGATGTGACCGTTGTGTTACATAGGTCGTAACCGATTTGTAAGCCTTAATTATTTACACTGGATGATAATAAGTTGTAACTAGTATTATATTTGTAGGTAACACTCACCATAGATCGCTCATATTTAAAGTGTAATTAGAAACTGGGATAGCTGTTTTAACCTAGCGCTTAGCTTCTCAGTAGTGTGCGTCCAATACCCCATTGGCGATTAATCCCAAGACATTGAGGTCTTGTGGAAAGCGCATAGCCGTTAGAGCTACTGGGTTGGGGTCCAGTGGTACTATTCGAAACTTAGTCAGTTCGGTATGAAGCTATAAGGTTATACAAAGCGGTTGTGGATAAATGTTTTACTCCGACATCTTTCAACTTCAGTAGTTTTGATTTCTCACTAGAACTTGTGTTACACCTTGAAATAAGTCATTAGTGAGCTGGTATTTTAAATGCGATACATCTGTTACAAATACCATCACCAACTTATATCAACCTCCATAAAACGCCTTCAAATAAACAATGTGATATTTGTTCAGTCCTTAGTGCTGGTCAAATTTTTGTCAATTTAATTGCAATCTGGGTGTTAGCTTAAGTAATTTGACATGGGATCGTTTGGTGCTAATTACTGGAGACAATCAATAAGGTGAATAGTGTTTCCACCAGACTTGCAGTTACATCTTGCTGGCAAATATCAGTGAGCACAAAAAATTATCCCTAGGACCTAATGATAACCCCAAATCCCACGTAAGAACAAGAAAAAGTATGTGCACTCGATATCGAGTCTAATCGTGTTATTGAAGCTTGATAATCAGTAATGACCAGTTAAACATGACATCGGCTGCTGTTATTAGTCAGGAAAGTTTAGCAGATGCATATTTATTTCATGATCTACATTGTTGATGACTAAGTATTTGAAGTCAACTAGAAACATTTATTGTGCGGTGTGTTTAATTTCAAATTTAGTTCTGTTGTCTTTCTGTGATTATTTCGGCTAATTTGGAGGTAAATGGTAAGGCGTATCCCTTTGTATTATGGACTAATTATTACTGTGATAGAAAACGACTTAATCAGAAATCATAATTTAAAGCCGTTGTTTGATCAAGTAGTAACGTCTGTATATATGAAAATTATATTTGAAATAATCTCAGCGACTGAAATTTAAATAATTTCAACGTTTCGGCCAACTAACCTGTTTGGACTTCTTCAGGGTAATAATCGAAATCAAAATCATCAAAAAATATGTATAGCTTTCTAACAATCAAAACTATACTCCGCGCCCGATTTCTGTCAAACTATTCATTCTAATCTTGACGAATATTCGTACAAAATAACGTCTGTACTTCAGATTTTGATTAATACTGCTACGTGCTCTGAATAGTTTTGTTGGATTATTTGTTCTTCTATTCAACCACTCAGGATAAATTATTTAATGGTCGAACAACAGTCAGTGTCCGTAGGTCTGACATGTGTTGCACGTTGTAAGTGCTGTGTAAGTACTGGTGGTGGCGTGAGTGATAAGATCAATCCACGTATGGTAAAACTAGAGAGGTTTACGTTAATCTGGTCCATTTTGGGCGCATATGTGGTGTTAGTCTGGCTGTAAAAGGTCGGATCTACAACACATCAGTGAAACCAGTTTTGCTCTATGCTTGTGAAGCCTGGCCTCTCCGAGTTGAGGATGTTAGACGACTCTCTGTGTTTGATCATTGTTGTCCCCGAAGGATTGCTGACATCCAGTGGCAACATCATGTCAGTAATGCAGAAGTTCGGCAACGTGTGTTAGGGCACAGCGAAGATACTTCATTTAGTGTCACCATCTTAGAAAACCGACTTCGGTGGCTTGGGTATGTTACACGAATGTTGTCCCAGAGAATTCCACGTCGTGTATTATTTGCCGATAGTGGGACCTGTTGAGAAAAGTGGTGATGTGGCCAGTATATGACATTGTGTTGTGATGTGAAGGAAAGCTGTGTAGGACTGGCTACTATTGATCCTTCGTATTTACCACCGATCTATTTGCTGTCAGGAAAAGCTCACCCCTTTTATATTATAAATCTATTCGACTGTAAAATAGTGCACAGTAATGGCTTATTGTGGAATTCATTACATGAGCCATTTTATTGATTTATTTTTCGAAATTTAGGCACCCAGAAATCAGCCCAATATAAATTATACGCAGTTTCAAATCACAGTGGAAGTGTGTATACCGGACACTACACTGCATCTTGTTTAAATCCTTATACAGGTGATTGGCACTCATTTAATGACAGTCAGTAAGTTTCGTTTAATGAATGATAATTATATTTTACAAATTCAACTCAGCAATTGACTGATGCAACATTTGAGGTTTGTTCTTTTCAACACTGGATCGAATTAAGGACCATCACTTCTTGTAACTGGCAAATGCTTTCTGAGTATTGAGTAATGATTCAATAGTTCACAAAATAAAGCGATAATAATTAGATGTTGTTGTTACATCTAACTGCATTACTCTTGATATGCTTCATTAAACATGTCACAGCTTTTCAATAGAGCTACAAAAAAATCAGTCTCAAAAGATTTACACAATTTGTTCACAATACAATAGCTTGATGGTCTAATGATTATTGTGAGATCATATGGTATTTTGTTTTGGTTAAAAGTGTGCCTCACTTTGTGATCTCAAAAAGAATGAAATTGCTATACCATTACACCAGGGCTTTCAGTCATCCTTAAACTGTCTATAGCGAAAACTGAACTTACTTTTTGTCAATTTAAGCAACAATAACAGTAAGGAAAAAGAATAAAGCTAACTACAATCTAAGTATTTTATTACATTCAGTGATTGAACTTAATTGACAGGATATCTTGTACATAGGTTTCGTGCTAACTAGCACTTGTCAACTAAGTGTACTTACAAACTTTAGAATACTAGTTGATTCAAACTCTCACTACTGAATTTCAATTTTGAAAGATATTATAACTGAGCTTTTAGAGACTTGAATAACTTACTGATTACCCCCACATGAAGATATAAAACTTAGATATTTTCATTGATCAATTATAAATAAAAATAATTCTATGGAATCTATTAATACCGTCTAAATTACTAAGACTAGTCACAATTAGTTATATAAAAGAATGGATATGCACTGATGAGGAGTCTCACAATAGGACGAAACAACCATCTAGTGCTTTCGATCATTTTCAATGAAAAAGGCATAATAGTTATTATTCTCATATTGAATTATTTGATTAGATGAATTAATTAAATATTTAAGCATCGTTTTTTTTCTTCTCTTTTCATATTTTATTTTCATATTTCTTAATTTTGTAATAGTGTACATGCAATCTCAGAGAACTCAGTTGTTTCTGCTGAAGGTTATGTACTTTTCTATACACTTATTCAATGAATTATTTATTCACTAAATTGGTTTTCTTTCTTTCTTTCCTTCTTTTTTCTCTTTTTTGTTTGTTCTTCTTTATTTTTTATTCATTTTTGGTTTGTGTATGATGAAGTTTTCAAATTGAAGAATTTTTATTTCAACTAATAGTAATAAAACTTATTTCATATATAGAGATATACACTTGAATGTAGATTGTATTATAGTGCCTAATGTAATTGTTTTCAAGTTTTCAATTGATCTCTTATTACATATAGACATTTAGTTATTATTAGTATTATCTTAATGTGGTTATTTTCTGATTGTTATTGTGCATAATAAGACTCAATTTAATATGAATATTTGAGTTCACTATTGTTTGGGCTTTCATGAATGGAAAACAGTTATACATATATATCTATGTATAAAGAGAGAATGAATCAAATGAAGCAATGATTAATGATATGTAATTGTAAACTAATTAAATGAATTGGGAGCTTAGTAGTATATATACATATATATATAACTTCCACTTTCTAAGTGATTAACATACCAGTATATTGTAAATTGTTGTGTATTATTGTTCCTATTTAAGCATCCATGGACCATGTACAATACTGATATATGTATATATATATCATTGTACTATTTTTTAATATAATGTGATTCACTACTACTCTATTGCTACTCTACACTTACTAACACTAATAAAACTGCTTAATTTTTCGAATTAAGGCTGTGATGTTTATTATATTTTCATTGTAAAAAAGAAAAGAACAATCTATACCACCTTTTTATTACTAAATAGATTAGATTACAACTACTAATTGTATTCTATAAGAATACTATGTGACAAACAAACAGATAAAGATCATATTAATCTTTACCTTTAAACAAGAGAGATATTCATATTTCTTTTTAAGGATTCGCGTAAAATCTGCTTCTGTATTATTATTATTATTATTATTATTATTATTATTATTATTATTATTATTATTATTATTATTATTATTATTATTATGTTTATTGACTTAATAAACAATAATAATAATAATGGTAATAGCTCAATTCTTGAATGAATTTACTTCTCCTTTTGACACTGTACGTTTTCAACATTCAGTTGATTGTACCATCTATTCTTGTTCAGAGAAAAGATAGTGCATGGAATTACAGTATTACACAATAAAACACTACAGATTTTCAAGTGTATACATTCATCTATACATATATATATGTAATAAATAAATGTAATTTATTATTACTTATATATTTTTAAGTGAATAAATGATTTATTTTTTGTTCATAAATTTATCAATTGTTATATCTTCTGCATTGTGTCCCCAATCATGTATAACGTGATGATACCGCCGCCAATTGGAGAATAATGATTTATCGATCGGACCAATGGAGCGTAAAACCTTTACGAGCTGTTTCGAGTCCTTATCGGGACTGTTTCCTGCTTAGCTTTGCCTGTTAAGTCCAGAACACTAATCTCAGCCTCCACCATATCAATCATGTATTTCAAACATACTGGGTTTATATACAAAACCAAACAGACTACATCGTACCATAAAATAGAAAATAACATTTGTAGAAAATTTAGCCAAATTTGGCTATGAATGTGGTATGCTGTAATTGATAGACAGCTCATAACTCAAGAATGGTAAGTCGTATAATAATAGTTCGTAAGTCAAAATAAGGCTCATAATAAGAGGAACACGAATATGAATAGTTTAGTTACATAACAATTATACGATAAAAATATACTTATAGTATCGGTCCATAAATGGATCCCAAAAGTTACTATTCATTATTCTCATCGGGATATAACATTAATTATTTGTTATTTTATCATTGTAAAGAAGTTCTTGTTACAGATAATGTTATTATGAAGTTGTGTGACCAACGAAACTAATTGTAATCTACTAGTATTTGACCACAGATGCCTCAGAAATATTGCTCGCATCAGCTGGGATCACCGGGTAAGTAATAGTGAGGTTAAACGCAGGGTATTAGGGAATGATGGTAAATCAGTTGATGAGGTTGTGAATCTTCATCGACTGAGATGGTTGGGTCACGTGTTACGTATGCCTGAACACCGATTACCACGACATGCAATGCTAACCGGTGTTCGAGATGGTTGGAAGAAAGTAAGGGCGGCCAAAACAAAACGTGGCATCAGTGCTTGAAGTCACTAACTTCTAGTCTGAGCCATGTTGGTAGATGCAGACTACTTGGTTGGTGTCCACGTGACTATCGTAACCAATGGTTGGAGAGTGTGTGTGATATGTCTCAGAATCGATCACAATGGCGTCGGTGTATACACTATTTGTCTGCCCTTAAACCGTGAGATTAAAATCGCTTCATATCTTTCTTTCTACGAACTAATTATTTCTTCGTGTACTATATCCTTATTGCAACCTTTTCTTTTATATATTACCACCTCTGAATTAACTACTTTTATGAATCCGGTGTTCATCTTGTTGTGTTAATGAGGTATGGCAACCTGGACCGATGCATATATGTGCCTGGTCCTACGTTGTAGCTGACTGACTGATTGCAAATATATGTTGATTCTAATACTTCAGTACTGGAAATAGATTATAATTATGTGAACTCTTTAGATAACAGTGTTGATATTTTTATCAAGAATCGAATCCGTTACTAATAGATTCAAATGACGCGTACTATAGATTAACGCAATGAGTTATGATTGTCAGGTTATATATATATATATATATATATATATATATATACTTGTAAGGGGTCATGTTTTCCCTTTGTTAATATTCACAAATGTATTTTACCTCTGTTTGCGCACCTTCACCAATTGATAGTGCAGTGCTAGCGTTAACGTGAGTTCAGGTTATTTAGATTTTTCGTCAAGAGAAATTACTTTTATGTAATAGGGATAACAGTGGTAACATTTTTCTATTTCATATTTCCATAATGACTTTTACAGTTGTCTGATTGGTTATTGTCACTTTTAGCTTGTAATTTTTGTTACACCTCAACGTCTACGCCACTTTATAAAATGTACGAAGTTTTTACATTTTCATTTCGAATTTGTTAAGTATCAAGTCCTTTTTGTTTAAATCCTCCTGTCTTCTTCTTGGGTTATGGGTAATTGTCATCTGCTCAGTAGTAACTGAATTCAAGAGATACTCCTGGAGTTCTAGTGAGAAGCCGTTACCAATGCAGTCCAACCAGGTCTGTTGTGAGATATCAACTCACTGAAGACAATAGTGTACAGTGGCGTAACTTCGTGGATTGGTTGAAATTAGATATTAACACCGCTAGATGCCGGCTCAGTGGTCTAGTTGGTTAAGCGTCTGGCGCGAGACTGATAGGTCGTGGGTGCGCGCTGCTGAGGAGTCCCATGCTAGGACGAAGCGGCCGTCCAGTGCTCCCAGGTTTTCCATGGTGGTCTAGCTTCAATTGACTGATGATTTCAACTATTGAAATTTCTAGAATCCCCACAAAACCCCTTCTGATAAAAATGGTAAACGCTCGCATCTGTTACGACATATATACCTCGAAATTTTGTTATCTGCAAATTAGAAAGGTCATTTAATGAAAGTCAGAATGATTTGGAGTAAATTGTTCAGTCACAATTAGTAGAATAGTCATTTAGCAAAAATGAAAATGCCAAAATTTGTGTGAATAAAATGTATAGTAGGAGAATTTCATCTTGTCAATTGAGATAATAATGATAATAGTAATAGTAAAAACATTGTTGTGTGAATATAATATGTAATAAGAGGGGTGTTATCAAGGTAATTACGATAAACGAATTAGGAATGATGGATGTGAAGTTTAAGATGGAGGTAATCAAAATATTATAACAATAATGAGGAAAAAAGGAAGGGGGTAAGTGGTTTATAATATTCGGTTTAGATATCCGGTGATCCAGTCTCAGGCCAAGGTAAACATAGAGGCTGGATATACCTTTTCTGGATACATAAGTTTGGCTTTCTATAATTGATTCAGATGGCTTCAGCTATGTAGAGTAACCGTAGTCTAGCTTCTTGGGGTAGATATTTTGGAACTTGATATAAAATAGTGAAGGCTTCCTCTGTTTTGATATTATGTTCACTATCTACCAAGTGAGAAATGATAGTGCTATTAATCGATTTAGTGACTTTTTCCAAACCACGCTGGTACATGTTCACGAACACTCAAGAATAAAGCCTTCTTTGTAAAATATCATAATTATGAACTTATAACTGTAGAGCTTGATGATGAAGTTATTGTTCGCTCAAATATTCTTCATCTTTGAATATTCTATGAGGATTTTTAAGCTGCTATAAAGAAGTGAATGGGAATAACAGAGGGGATTATCAAAACGTCACAATTTCCCGTGTAGTAATAGTAATAATAATAATAATAAGTAACCTTTTTAACTGAAATTCCATTGTCTTTGTATACACGATAAATTATTCTTACGAAACTAGTTTTTTTCTAGTTTGTTGAAATGAACCATAATGTGTCTCACTTACATACGCCTGTTACTCCTCATGAAGGAGCATAGGCAGCCCACCAGCACTCTCCATCCAACTTTGTCCTGGGCAATCCTTTCCAGTTCATCCTAGTTGTTATTCATCCTTTGTTTGTAAGTGTCTATAATTAAAATATTCATTGCTGCTTACGAAATAGATGCAAAAACTATCTGACTATTTATCTATATCATACTAAAAAAAAGAGATTTATATGAATTGGTAATTCACTTAAAGTATTTGAAATGGATTTTTTGTTTTACACTGTATCTACTGATGACAGTTACATTAGTGTAGATTTTACAAATTACAATAATGTCACAGTTGTTAAGATTGTAGATGATAGTTGTTTTGTGAGGGTTATTTTGGTACAAAAACAACATAAATTTCGTAACAATTGTTCAACTTAACAACAATTTGAAAGTCTTAACATTTGGTTACTAGTAGTCATCAAAGTTTTTTTCTCAATCATTTTATTTATAGAATAATCATTAGGTAGAAAACCTAAACCTTGCACTATAATGTAAAAGGACA